GCACAACTTTGGGCTGCACGACTTTCTCCTGTCGAGGATTCGTAAGATTACAGGTACCTTCAATCACTTGGCTGTCGTGGGATCTATACCAACGTAGATCTGTAGGAATACAGATCACACTTCAGATTCTATGAACTTTTAAGATAATTTTCTTTTTTTTATCACTGTGTTTTCATTCATTTAATAGCAGATGTTAAAAAAAATCAGCTTTTCATCACCAGGTTATTAATACGTCTGATCTCATGCAGGTCTTTGACATAAAAAAATATACTTAATTGCATTTCTTTGTAAAATATGAGAGAGTCTTGTCCTACAGCTCATAGTAAACAAGTGTCTCCTTTGAGGATGACTGAACTGCATCATGAATCTTTACAACATTCCCAATTATAGCTGTGTAAATCAAAGCTCTTCTTCTATAAACACATTCATTTTCTGAGTTCCTGGTCAGATTCACTTCTACAGATCCGGAAGCACAAGCTCACCTTTGAGTCCTTCTAAGCAGTTTTAGTGTGTCACTGTTTGGCAGTACTTGCCGGAGTTTCACTTCTTCCTTATTCCTAGTAGTTACAAGATTACTGTTGCTCTTAATTTGAACACTGCCCTCACTCAATTTTTATGTCATTGTAATATAATGGGAATTCCAACCTGCGTACCAGAGGAGTTACACAGAATGGTCTCAAGGATATTTTTTTATTCTCATCTTTTTTTTTCTTTCAGCTATAGGAAACTTGCAGCTGCTCAAATGTGGTGGCATCACATCCAAAAAACAATCAGTTGGTTGAAAATACACTTGCTTAAGAAAACATGGAACATTTTCAAGCATGATATACTAATTATTTGATACATCATGCAGCTCATATAACCCTGTAGTGTAATAATATGATTAGACAACCAGTTCTAGTATAAATTTGCTTATGAAGCAGCACTTGCTTGTAACATCTCATAAGACATGGTAATTTTGAGGTTTTAAAGGTATAAACAGAAATCAATGGGACTGAAGCTGTCATTGACTAAACCCTGATGAATTACATAATAGATCTCATTTAAATTTCTATAGCTAACTCATGCTTCTTCCAAGGGAAAAAATCCATCTTGAAATGCTGTCTAACTCAAAAGCTAGAGGTTTGGTGGGAGGAGGAGGGATGAAGCAGTAGGTGTAGAGAGCAAGACAGAGAAGGGTATATTGCAACTGTGTAACTCCATAGCTGAAGAAAGAAGGGCAATAAAAATTATCAGATACATGGAACAGCTTCTCCATGTGGAACAATGGAGTAGTCTTTTCAGCATGGAAGAAAGAATAACATGAGGGGACATTAGGGTCCATGAAACCATGAGTGGCACGGAGAAGATGGATGGAGATAGACTGTTCAGTCTCTCTTTACACAAGAACCAGAGGCCAGTGAAGCTGGAAGAAATGAGATCACAGAATTAATAATAATAAAATAGTTCTTCACATGAGTGCTAGACTTACAGGACTCTTGTCAAAGGATGTTGCTGATGCAGAAAGTTTGCAAATTCAAGTACCTAGGGGAGACAGTCACTTGAGGGTAACTAAAGAAATGAGCACATCAGGCTTAGGAAATCTACCAAGCTGAAAACAGCTAGAGACAGAGGGAGTATTAATTTGAAGTTTGCCAAGCCCCTGCACATCTCTAGGCATCTGCTGCCAACCGCTTTTAGAAAGCAGGAAACTGAGCTCAGTGGACCATTGATCTGAACCGCCATGGCTCTTCTTATGTGCAGTATAATCAATCAAAACATCCCTCAGTGAGTCAGTAGCCTTCACTCACTAGGGAGTTTTGAAAGTTCATATGACTCATAAAATATTTGGCTTCTAGTTACAAATCAGAATTTGGAGATACCTATGTTGAAGAATATCTCTTAACACCAAGTATAGCCAAGCTAGATACACAAAATAATAATTAGAGGAGAGTAAACAATCCACAATTAAGTGTTACTGGCTTATTAAGACTTTCCTAGGTCAAGGCAAGAAATAATAACAAAACTGAGAAGAGAAAAAATTTGCATTGTATTAATAGGTTAATCTTTTACCTCTGTTATCTCTGTTACATAATTCACTTATATGCTTATCAGCATATCTTCCTTTTCCTTAAGGCTTATCTTAAAAAAAATCCCAAACTTTCACCCCTTCATGTTCTCCAGCATCCCTACCGAGGTTACTATTATGTAAAAACCTTGAAAGTGACAAAGTAACTTGGGTGTGTTATGCAAGTCAAAATACAGAAAACAACTGCATTCCACGGGAAGATTCCCTCTGCTCCTAAAAATAGCAGCAGTTGCTGTTGTTACTATAGCTATGGCTTACTGTCTTCTATCTTAGAAATCTATCTAATACATAAGAATACTTAAAAAATATGGAAGAGAGCAAATTACCAAAATAGCATAGGTCTAGAAAATATAGTTGGGAGATCTTTTACTACCCACCTATTATGGAGTAAGTAGCTTTGCTCTCCTATTGCATCGTGAAGAAACTAATAGAAAACGGATGGGCATTTTTACCTTTGGCCATTAAGCTTTGCTCAAGTAGTAAAGACCCAAAGTGGATTTGACACACTGCCTAACTAGCACACTCTTAACATAACTGCATTATTCCAGTTTCAGTCTCCCCTACCACTTCTGGGAAAACTTTAAAATTATTATTTATTTGAAGTCACTTGCATGAAACAAGCAAAAGGCAGGCAGAGAAACAGTATTTTAGCTGACTACAGCTCCTGCACGGCATCTGCACTGCTCAGCACTATCATATTTCATACGCTTTGTACTATGTTTCCTTACGGTAAACAGAGCCAGCGTTTCCTCTGTCCTCAGAAGACCTCGAGAAAGCGTTTTAACTGCTTATCCCAGCAACACCGACCAGAGCGAGGGAGGGCCGCGTGTGCAGCCGGCAGGCAGCAGCAGGGCCGTGCCCGGGGCCTGCAGCGCGGGCAGCTCTCCTCAGCCTGTGCCGGGCAACGGCCGCTTCGCAAAACGCCTCCAGGTGCATTTTAATCTGCGGATGTTAAAATACTGTCTCAGGTGAGTGGGTTTTGGTTTTCTGCACGCAGTAAACGTAGTGCTGCTGCCCTAAAGCAGCACCTTGAAATGCACAGCAGCTCTTCCTCCCTACGGGGACACACAGCAACCCTAGGGAGAAGGCCGTGTATAGAAACCACTGCATTAGGACAGCGTTACATCCATTTAAAAGAATCATAACTCTGAAAGCAAGCTGCCCACCACCGGCTTTTGCTATGCTCTAACCTGCCGCCCTCAGCCAAGAGGCCACCCTGGCCCAAGATGGCGGCCTAGCTTCCGCGCCGGCCTCCCGCATCAACTATGGCTGCGGGGCGCGGCCCCGGCCCTTGGACTACAAGTCCCAGGAGCCAGCGGGTGCGGGGTGCGGCGCGGTCGCCGCCC